CAGGGCGGGCAGGGCAGGGTCTTCCAAGCCCCTTCCCGCAGCATAAACCCTTTGCGCTCAGATCTGCCCGCAGCGGCGTCCGGCCGCGCCGCAGCAGGGACAATTGGGCATAAACAGTTTGCATAACGCTTCCTCGGCCGGTCGCAAGCCGAGTGCCAATTTTCTTCTTTAAAAAGAAGAACAAACCCGGATGGGAAACAAACATTTAATCAGGCACAAGATATAAATGAAACATCACAAGGCAAGTGTTGCTAAAATGCTTAAGCAGGAAGCATATGATTTTCCATGGATGTTTTACAGGTGAGTCATGGTATTCGCTGCATGCTCTTACTCATTACTGAAGATCCCAGTCCGGTGGCATGTACAGTACATAGAATTTAGTTGGGCAGATTCATCAAGTGCAAGGAAGGAAAAGCACCTTTTCCAGGGCTGTGGCAGAGCAGTCGTGAGCTTGGGGCTGACGGCGTGGAAATCTTTATGCTCTCATTTGTCCTTTTACTGAATTCCTGTGGCAGCCAGGATTACACTAGAAAGCTGTCACTTTTCATAACATGCCGTGCTCTGCATCTGTCATGCAACTCTTTCCAATTCACGTGAAAACAAACACCCTTTGGAAGGGGTTTTCCTCTCCCCCTCTTCCCGCCCCCAGGATGGGAAGCAGGGTCTGCGTGCCAGCAGCCTTTCTCAAATCCTACTGAAGCCAAGGTCCCTGGCCCCAAATCCGGCCCCAGGTGAGGAAGGGACCCTCCATGCCTGGTCTGAAGACAACTGCAGTCAGTGACCGCGGTTGACCGGAGCTGGAGCATTCCAGGAGCTGGGAGCAATCAAAGACCCTCATCTCCCAGGGTCTCACATGGGAATTTGGTAGCCAGCCCCTCCTGGCCGGGCTCAGGCAGAGCCTTGCCTCCAGTCCGGGGACAGCTACGCCGAGAGCCCTGCCACCACCGCAGTCACCGGGACACCTCCCACTGCTCAGGTCCTCCTCCACTGCCTCCCTGGAGACAGTAATCCATGGTGTGCAAAAAACAAAAGGACTCGATGAACACAAACAATAATCTCGACCTGTCTCAGGGTGCTGACAGAGCCCTGCTCTATTTACCTCTTCCCAAATCCGCCTTGCAATCCCGCAACTGAGGGAACCGCAGTAAATGTTCATCTGTTTGTTCAGCAGCTAACTGTGCTGTTACGTGTAGCCAAAGAATCCAGGAAAGCAGCCAAAGACATAAATTAGGCCAACTTGTGGCAAGCCTAACTGATAATATGATAATAGCACTTACTTACCTACCCCTCAGGAGAGCTGCGTAGGTTAGTTAATGTTTATACAACACTTTGAAAAGGATGTTCAGGAGATGTAAGTGATATTACATCAATTTTACAGTTATATTTGTTTACTTTTCTAGAGTAAACGTATTCTGCACAGTTACTATAGATCATCTCAGACACATTTTTATCAGGTCCCTGTAGGAAGTCAACTTGACTGAGCATTTCTTGTTCACTAAAAATTTCCCAAGGCTGTTTACCCAATGAAATCCAGAGACTGGTTTCAGAAGTGCTTTTTAATGGGTGCATAACAAGCAGCAGTCCACATCTGTTCTGAATAATCAGTATAGAAAACCTGTACAGACCTTTGGTGGTAGAACTGTTTTCTTTCCAGGGTGGTTCTTGAGGAGCAGAAGGAGTGGGGAATGCTGTCAGGCTCTGAAGGCTTAGCCTCTGCTAGTGCGTGATATAGCTTAGTTGCAACTATGACACTGTAGACAAAAGCTGAATAAACCCCAAATAAAGGATTTATTGGATGCTAAACTGAAATGACCTTTGGATATAACAAAAATGCGAAGAAGAAGCCATAATAATTGGTGCACTATGTATGACTGGCCTGGTGATAAAGGAGACATTATGAACCGCAAATGGTTTGGCCTGCCCACATCCAGGTCATCACAGCTTTTTTTTGTTTATGTTAAACACTTATGGTTCATCAGATACAGACTTGACCTACTGCTACATTTATTAATAAAGAGGTGGAGAGCCCCTAATCAAACATTCCTGCACCGGGAGGGTTACATTGCAGATGGTTTCACACCAAACCCCATGGTGATTTTATTTTTCTTTGACACTTTAACTGTGGATTTTTAAATCGACAAGGCTTCCAGAGAAACTTGAACAAAAACCACAGAGCCTCAGCTGCGAGGCAGCTTGCCAGCATCATTTCAACCAAGGATTATTTTTTTTTTTTTTACCCCCTTTACACACATCAGTGACAGACTTCCCAAACTTAACTGGTGCTTCGATTCAACCCTGACCTCAGCAGCAGTTTGGGGCTGTGGAGAGATTTGGGGTAGGGATGGAGGGGTGGGAAAGGGTGATGAAGATTTGAGGTCATCGGTGTAAGGAGATATGCCTACCAGCTCTCGCGCCCCCGACACCCAGTCTGCCACATGGTGAGCCGGGGCGCAGCAATGCCGTCCCCCGCAGCCGTCTCCTGGCCTCCCACTGGCATTCCACCTTGGCCGCCCCCCTGTCGCCGGCACCCCATCTTTCTTGTGATTTTCTCCCCTTCCCCAGGACCACCTGGATCCCCTTGGAGGCCTGGGGGTAGGGGCGGCATGGCCACGGCCACTGCCCCCGAAGCCTCGGCCCTGCTCTGGGTCCCTTGGGGCGGGAGGGCGAGGTGGAGACATCCCTCCTCCCGTGCTGCCTGCTCTGCTCTGCAACTCTTGGTAGGGAGTTTCCCAAGCGCAGGGAAGCCCTGAAGGTTTTTTTTGTTTTTTTTGCTGTTTTAGACGCACTGAGCTCCATGGAGGGGAGAGCTGAGCAGCAGTGCCGCAGCCTTCCTCAGCCCCTCCTGGGTGTCTCGGTGGGGGCAGTGTCCCCAAAAAGCATGCTGCGGGGCACGTCTGCTCCCGATGGGGTGGGGTGTGCCTGCCTCAGGAGTGGGCTTCAGCCTCCTGCTCTCTGCCTTGCAGGTCTGGGCAGCGCAGCAGGAGCGGGCAGCCCCTGCGAAAAGGCCTGCAACCCCCGGATGGGCAACCTGGCGCACGGGCGGGTGCTGCGGACGGAGACGGCCTGCGGGCTCCATGCCACCGAGCCCTTCTGTGCCTCGGGCTGGCCCACCCCCCCGCCGCCATGGCCGACTCCCCCTTCCTCCTGCCCCGCACCTGGTGGCAGGCGGCCCAGGACGCCCCCCGCGAGACCATCCGGCTGGACCTGGAAGCCACCTTCTACTTCACTCACTTGATTTTGGTCTTCAAGTCGCCCAGGCCGGCCGCCATGGTGCTGGAGCGTTCCCAGGACTTTGGTGAGACGTGGATGCCTTACAAATACTTTGCTGCTAACTGCTCGGCCACCTTTGGGCTGGAGGATGATGTGAGTCAGAGGGGAGCCATTTGCACTTCCAGATATTCGAGTCCCTTCCCCTGCACTGGAGGAGAGGTAGGTCTGCCGGGGTCGGGAAGAGGAAGCCCTCGCTCCAGCCCCCTTTCCCTCTGCAATCTCCACTCTGACTCTGAGACTTCTTATTTTACTGCACCGGCATCCCTTGTCGAATTTATTTCACAGGATGAATTAACGTAATTCGTTCCGAGGTGCTGTAGGCACTGCCCTGCCCCTCGCTTTGCTGAGCTCGTAATCCCCCCTTTCCCAACAAAATCCTCTCCCCTCACCCAGTAAAACGCCCCTGCACAACTGCAAAGAAGGCAAACGCTGCCGATTCCTCAGGAAAGCCAAAGGGAACATTGTCCTTGACGGTCTTCTCCAGTCCTTGCAGTCGTGTGGTTTCAGGGTGATGCAAATCTGTCCGACTTTGCCCAAAATGCAACTATGTTAAAATTAATGGTCACCAGTTTCACTTTAGACAGTGAACACCCTCATTGAGAAGCAAGAGTGTCAAGATAGCTACTGAACACACTGAAGTACGGTTCCCATAAGCCAGATTAGCCAGGTAACTAAGAAACCTTATACTTCATCTTTTTTTTTTTTTTCTGTGCACACTTATTCTCATGTGAAAAGAGCACAAAAATGAAGAAAAACATCACATTTTCTAAAAGGAAAAACAGATGTGAAAAATCAGATTACTTTCAGTATCAGAAACAGCAGATAATAAACCATGCACTTGGAGGTGCTACCAATAATACTCTTCCCTTTGGTGCCTAAGCCTGTCCCGCGGCGCTGGACACCCTCCCCTGGGGACCACGGCTGCAGGGCTGCCCTCCAGGGTCCCCACTGGTGGCCAGGCATCCCCAGTCACCAGCCCTGGACTTTAAAGGCTGCTCCCTCTAGTGGCCTCATTTAATGAGCTTGTCCAAAAGTTTAATCAAACGTAAAATTGCCTTCCAACCTAACACAGAGAAAGGAGCAAATTTGATTAGTGAATCACGTTATATCATTTTAGATTCTGCTGATAACATGTTTTGAGGTGAAAGCCTGGTTCTTGGAGACCAGCATTTATGTCTGAAAAAAATCACCTGTTTAGACCCCTTTGCAGTCATTTGGGGTCACCCCTAGCCATGCTCTGGCTAGGAAGCCACTCTCTGCAGAAATGCCGAGAGCTGATTGTTCACCAAAGTTCATTTCTTAGCCGCGTCTTGGGAGGCAGCTGATGTCCTGCTCTAGGAGAAGCTGCTCCATTCTCTCATCAGCTCAGAAACAAGGATCTCCAGACCTGCCAGGCAGACCCAGGATGGTTATTTCATTAGCCCAGCAAAGGGTTTACATCAGCTGGCTGGCAAGCGAAACTGCTATCTTCCTCCTCCTTCCTCCCGCTTCCCTTTGCTCATGCCCCCAAAAATCTTCCTGAACTTCTTTTCACAGTAAAATATGTAAAGGGGCTTATAAGAAAGATGGAGAAAGACTTTTCAACAGGGCCTGTTCTGACAGGACAAAGGGCAGTGATTTTAAACTGAAATTGATTTAGACTGGCTACAAGGAAGACATTTTTTACAGTGAAGGTGGCGAGGCACAGGAACAGGTTGCCCAGAGAAGATGTGGATGCCCCACCCCTGGAAGTGTTCAAGGTCAGGTTGGGCAGGGCTTGGAGCAATCTGGTCTAGTGAGAGATGTCCCTGCCCACGGCAGGGGAGTTGGACTAGATGGTCTTTGAATGTCCCTTCTAACCCAAACCATTCTGTGGTTCTGAATCGGGGCTAACTACAAAGTGGGACCTACAAAAGAAACAATGGATGTACCGTGCTGGGAATTTTCCAGTCCCTCAGCGCTTCTGCCAGCCTCTGTGTCCCACCACGTGAATCGTAAGGCTATGCCAGCCTGTGATACAGTGCAGGGACTGAAATCTATAGCTCTCGGGCCAGCCAGTGGGACGTCTAGGGTACTCTGACTTGCACGCTCCTTTTTCAGCTTTCCTAGCAATCGTTCTTAGGGATGAGAAACCCAGGGCATCATTCAGGGCCGTATTTGCCTCATTCGTGCTGGGTCCCACGTAGTTTGTCCCAGGTCCCACCGTGGCGCAGTTTTCACTGCAGTCACCGCCGTGATGTACCTGCGCACCAGGACGGGGTCTGTGCCTGGTGAGAACCTGTGCAAATCCCAACCTGGGGCCGGCTTCTCTACAGGTTGGTGCAATGCGTGGGGACAGTAAGATCGAGGTCTCGTGCGTAGAAACTAATGCCTGTCTCAAGAAGGAAAGGGATTTGGTGGTGTTTGATGAATCTGCGGTAGCACACTGCAAAAACAGGTTATTTACCGAGTTTGCTGCTGCAGGATCTCTTCTTTTGGCATTGCTTTAGTTTGTGTTATTGCAAAGAAGCTATAAAAGTCAAGATCATTTAATTATTCCAGGTTTTACACAAATGTTGAGTCCAAAGGGCTGGAGCTTGTAAGACTTTATTTATATGGCACACTTCAGTTCCTTGCATTTAAACACCACTTTTTACCTGCAAAGTAATAACAGCAGCTCTCTGGTGACCAGATGGAAAGCCTGCATGCTTAGCAAATATCACATTTAATTTATTACAGTGTGCTACATTCCAGCAATTACTTGTAACTGCCAATAGCAACATGTATCTCACCTAAAGAAACATCAGAGTTTTGTGTTCTGTTTAGAGTTATGTTGTGCTTTACTCCCACTTCTGGTAGCACCTAATTTCAGACATATGGCAACAGTAATTTCACTTGAAACAGTGGTTTCAAATATGCAGTCGCCTGAGATGTCCAAGTCTGAAGGGTATTATTTAATTGTGTCTCAGTTGCTGTAGTTTTCTTTAAAGCACAAACATAAATTCTGCGAATGCTACTGGATTTCTTTTTAAACTTTTTGGAGTTTTTTAACTGCCATGTGACAATTGTAACCTGTGATCCAAACTGTGTATCACACCGTCTGTATACCACTTTCTCCCACTTCAAACATTTCAACACCACACGTGCATTTCCAGGCACAGAGTCAGGGCTTGCAGGGTTTTGCGGAACGGTGGGGTCTCTGCATACTGCTGGCAGCTCGGTCACTGCTGCCCGTCCCCCTGGATGTGCAATTTGCAAAGCTCAGGGGAGGCCTCAGGAGATGGCGGCTCACCCCAAATGGCACCAGAGCTGATCTGCCCGTGTTTCTGCTGAGCCTTACAGCGCCTGTGAGCCCTGTTTCAAGGCAGCACCATGCAGAAGCTTATAGTACTCAGGGGCTTATGGCCTCTTTTTAATGAATCACATATGTTAATTTGGAGCAAAGGCGTATCTGCTTTGGTTCTTATTGAAAAGAAAAATCAGGCTTTTTGCATTTCTTCTGCCCTCATCATCATGAGTCATTCCTTAGATGCCTTATTCAACTCTTACGACAAAAATCCTCCCTCATCACAACTTGCCATGATGTTGATCTTGAGGAGATTTCTGATACCACAGAAAGCAAGCTGCCAAACCTCCGGGTTCATTTCAAAGATCCAGAGCTCAGAGCTGGTAGAGAAATGGGAGATGCTGAATTGGCTCTGGGAGATGCCTTTCATCTTTCTTCTGTAGTAGAGTGGCTCTGGGCTTCCCTTTGCGGTGATGGGACCGTGGTGGAGGAGGGCATTGGGAGAGTGGTCTGCATGGTGGGGCTGCAGGGTGTCACTGTGCTGCAGTCACCCGAGCTGAAGGCCACCACAGTGGTAGGAGCCGGCAGTGGTAATGTCACACGCCACGTGTGACACTTGGCAGGTCTACTGATGGGTAGAGTCACCTCGGCAAGGACTTTGCAGGTCTCTGCTTTTCCTCGCTACCTGTCCCTGATGCTGCAAAACCGCCAGGCGTAGTTATCCTCTGCTTTGGATGCATCTGAGTCCTCCACCCTGAAGCAGGCATGAGCTGGAGGATCCACAGCCCAGCGGTGGGATTAGGAAGGAAAGGGCAGATCTGGACAGAACTGTAGAGGAAAGAGGTTGAAGGTTGCATGGTACAGTACTGGTGTCAGGAACACTGCACTGATGCCCTGGGTTTGGTTTTAAAGGCTTTCTTGGTGGAAGTCAGCATGAGTTCACAGATCAGCAAGCACTCAGAGACTTTGCCGAGCTGAGGTCCGCGCTAGAGCAGCCTGACTGTAGTCTGGCCTCATGCAAAGAAGAACCACCCTTTCAGCAGCCAGGAAAGCAATGACTTCTCTGCAAGGATCCAGGAGCCAAACAAAACAACTGAGCCTCTCCTCGGTAGGGAACAAAGGAAAAGAAGCAGATGGTGGGCGCCTGCCTCCTGCCCCGGCATCCCCAGGCACTCACTGTGTCCTGTTCAGAAACCCACCCACAGGCTGGCACTGCTTTCGGGAGCTCTCACCGTTCAACACCTAGGGCCAGGCTGTCCCCTGTCATGGGGACCGTCCAGTATGGGTGAAGGAGAAGCGGGAAGGAGAAGGAAACCTCAGTACAACTAAGCCGGGTTTCCAGCAAGCTTCAAGCATCTGCCAATTTGAGAGGTCAGATTTGCAACACTGTGAAGGGAACAAGAAACTCCTTCCGTCAGGGAATAATTTCGGCTCAGCTGCACACAGAGGGGTCACTAAAGACTTTCCCCATGCTTAATTTAGTGAATTAGTTGTTTCACAGCAGCAGCTTGTTTAGCATGGGCAGAAACCTCTAAATGCTGGGCTTATATCATCAGCGTTTTAAGAGAAAGGCTAAGGCCAAGTTTTAGCCTGGATCATACAAATGTGCTACAAATCCAGAGTATTTCCACTGTTTTCCAGGGTGTAACCCTTCAGCCACATTATTGCAAGGGAAATCAGAACTGGATTCACCAGCCAAACATAATCTGATCTAAGTAAACAAGACGCAGGAATGCCAATTTTATTAGTAGGCATAAAAGGCTACCTTCCCTTCCGTAGTTCAGATCATATTAATATCTCTTCCTTTGCAGCCTAAACTGATCACTGTTAAGGGCTCATTGACAAGGGGCCCTTAGCAGATGTTAATTCCTTAACTGTGAGCGAGAGTGACTGTCCACTCTGCAATGCAATTATC